ATATGTGAACATTAAAAGAAATTTATATCTGACTTTTGCAATCCAAATGAATCGATAATGTTTCCAAAAAACAACAGAAACCGTTTTCAACTTATCTCATGTAAATTGGAAAACAATTGCAAAATATAATTTAACATAAAAAAATAGCCATATATACAATTCAGAAGAAAGGCAAAAGATACCAAAGAGACATTCAAACTCATAAGTCGAAAATAAACTGATAACGATATGGCATAAATCAATAAAGCACTTAAGTTTAATAAATGAAATCGCATTGAAGAAACTATTTAAACAGATGCTTTGAAAGTTTCCCTTTGTATTTGATCATAGAGTTAAGTTCGGACATGAGTCGTGTGTTGATTTACAGGTTTTAAAACGTTTCCGATTAATTCAAAATAATTCAGTTACTATGCCATTTTCTAGCAAATATACAACAAATAAACTATAACTTCTGATACAAATATGCATCCTGTAATTTTTTGAATTACATGAATTACATTATACCCGCCATTATATAATTATCAATTAAAATATTCAAATGTCAGTTTATATATATATGGTTTGAACGTTGTTTTCAATTTAGACGTGTTTATATATATATATATATATATATATATATATACTTCTGAACCAGTTACAACTCTACAACAGATTGATCCATCGGATCACCAGCAGTGATGGTGATACATGGCTGTGTACATTCTGTATATACAACTCGTCTAAACATCAGCCCAACAATGTTAGATCTGTTAATTTGCTTTCGCAATTTTTTTGTTCTTCCCTCGCCGGGATTCGAACTCATGCTACTGAGATACCGTGACACAAAATCGCCTGCACTGTTTTCGACGCGCTAGACCACTCGACCACCTAGGCTTCACAATAACAAAGCTTTCCGTGGCCGGGTGTTACCTTTCCTCGTCAGTTTTAATCTAACGTCGTAATACAGTACATGATATATAAGGCATGAAGATGGAATTGTTACAAATCAGCTGAAATATCTATTGTAAAGGATCCTACAAATGAATGCAAGATACAGTCACAGAAATAATTATATTTATAAGTACGTCTGAACAAGTGACAACCCTACAACAGATTGGTCCATCGGATCACCAGCAGTGATGGTGATACATGGCTGTGTACATTCTGTATATACAACTCGTCTAAACATCAGCCCAACAATGTTAGATCTGTAAATTTGCTTTCGCATGAGGTGCAAAAATTTGTACACCACATCCGGATTTCGACAATTAATGCCTCTTCAGTGAAGTTAGGAATCAAAACGGTATTTGGAAGGCCATATAATTTACCTCAATTTAGGATAGACGGATCATATAAACCCGAAGGCAAATATAATACAAGCTCAAACGAAAAAGTATAAACAAGTCTAAATTGAAACAACGTTCAAACCTATGATTGCGTTGGATAAAAACAGCAATTTTTATACGCGTGCATATATATATATATATATTTAAGTCTAAATTGAAAACAATGTTCAAACCTATGATTGCGTTGGATAAAAACCGCAATTTTTATAATTGTGCATGCAAAACAAATTTCTTGGTAGAGGGGTCTAAAAACAGCACAAACAACCTGCTGACTGCCATGGCGATTGCCAAATAAACGGATCACAGATGTAACAAGATGGATCTAAATTTTAATCTAATACCAAATAGAAAACAAAAAACTTGCGGAATAGATGGTATACCGCAAACATGAGGTGCAAAAATTTGTACACCAAATATACAATATATATATATATATAAAGTTCCTAGAAAATCAACCTAACGATGTTAGAGCAGATTTGATTCTTTACTTCCTCCTCGTGCGGGGCTGGAATCTGTACTTTTTTTTTATTTCTCACTTCTACGACAACACCGCTTAGCATTGCGCAGACGCCTTATCCCCTCCTTTAACTATAGCTGATATATATATATTCTTGAATTATATTTGCCTTCGGGTTTATATGATCCGTTCATCCTATTTTGACTCTTTCAAAATTCAAGAGTCTATCCTAAATTGAGGTAAATTATATTGCCTTCCAAATACCGTTTCGATTCCTAACATCACTGAAGAGACATAAATTGTCGAAATCCGGATATGGTGTACAAATTTTTGCACCTCATGTTTGCGGTATACCATCTTTTCCGCAAGTTTATTGTTTTCTGTTTGGTAATAATTTAATAATAAGATCTGTTTTGTTACATCTTGTGATCCGTTTATTTGGCAATCGCCAATGGCAGTCAGCAGGGTTTAAGAACATCAGTTGTTCGACCTGCTAGTCAAATGCGTTTTGTTAAAATATACCTTTTCACTTATTTGGTCTTTTGGAAAATGTTGTTTGTGCTGTATTTCGACCTCTCTACCAAGAAATTTGTTTTGCATGCACACGTATAAAAATTGCCGTTTTTATCCAACGCAATCATAGGTTTGAACGTTGTTTTCAATTTAGACTTGTTTATATTCTTTCGTTTGTTCTTGTATTATATTTGCCTTCGGTTTTATATGATCCGTTCATCCTATTTTGACTCTTTCAAAATTCAAGAGTCTATCCTAAATTGAGGTAAATTATATTGCCTTCCAAATACCGTTTCGATTCCTAACATCACTGAAGAGACATAAATTGTCGAAATCCGGATATGGTGTACAAATTTTTGCACCTCATGTTTGCGGTATACCATCTTTTCCGCAAGTTTATTGTTTTCTGTTTGGTAATAATTTAATAATAAGATCTGTTTTGTTACATCTTGTGATCCGTTTATTTGGCAATCGCCAATGGCAGTCAGCAGGGTTTAAGAACATCAGTTGTTCGACCTGCTAGTCAAATGCGTTTTGTTAAAATATACCTTTTCACTCATTTGGTCTTTTGGAAAATGTTGTTTGTGCTGTATTTAGACCCCTCTACCAAGAAATTTGTTTTGCATGCACATGTATAAAAATGGCGGTTTTTATCCAACGCAATCATAGGTTTGAACGTTGTTTTCAATTTAGACTTGTTTATATTTTTTCGTTTGTTCTTGTATTATATTTGCCTTCGGGTTTATATGATCCGTTCATCCTATTTTGACTCTTTCAAAATTCAAGAGTCTATCCTAAATTGAGGTAAATTATATGGCCTTCCAAATACCGTTTCGATTCCTAACATCACTGAAGAGACATAAATTGTCGAAATCCGGATATGGTGTACAAATTTATGCACCTCATGTTTGCGGTATACCATCTTTTCCGCAAGTTTATTGTTTTCTGTTTGGTAATAATTTAATAATAAGATCTGTTTTGTTACATCTTGTGATCCGTTTATTTGGCAATCGCCAATGGCAGTCAGCAGGGTTTAAGAACATCAGTTGTTCGACCTGCTAGTCAAATGCGTTTTGTTAAAATATACCTTTTCACTCATTTGGTCTTTTGGAAAATGTTGTTTGTGCTGTATTTAGACCCCTCTACCAAGAAATTTGTTTTGCATGCACACGTATAAAAATGGCGGTTTTTATCCAACGCAATCATAGGTTTGAACGTTGTTTTCAATTTAGACTTGTTTATATTTTTTCGTTTGTTCTTGTATTATATTTGCCTTCGGGTTTATATGATCCGTTCATCCTATTTTGACTCTTTCAAAATTCAAGAGTCTATCCTAAATTGAGGTAAATTATATGGCCTTCCAAATACCGTTTCGATTCCTAACATCACTGAAGAGACATAAATTGTCGAAATCCGGATATGGTGTACAAATTTATGCACCTCATGTTTGCGGTATACCATCTTTTCCGCAAGTTTATTGTTTTCTGTTTGGTAATAATTTAATAATAAGATCTGTTTTGTTACATCTTGTGATCCGTTTATTTGGCAATCGCCAATGGCAGTCAGCAGGGTTTAAGAACATCAGTTGTTCGACCTGCTAGTCAAATGCGTTTTGTTAAAATATACCTTTTCACTCATTTGGTCTTTTGGAAAATGTTGTTTGTGCTGTATTTAGACCCCTCTACCAAGAAATTTGTTTTGCATGCACACGTATAAAAATTGCGGTTTTTATCCAACGCAATCATTGGTTTGAACGTTGTTTTCAATTTAGACTTGTTTATATTTTTTCGTTTGTTCTTGTATTATATTTGCCTTCGGGTTTATATGATCCGTTCATCCTATTTTGACTCTTTCAAAATTCAAGAGTCTATCCTAAATTGAGGTAAATTATATGGCCTTCCAAATACCGTTTCGATTCCTAACATCACTGAAGAGACATAAATTGTCGAAATCCGGATATGGTGTACAAATTTTTGCACCTCATGTTTGCGGTATACCATCTTTTCCGCAAGTTAATTGTTTTCTGTTTGGTAATAATTTAATAATAAGATCTGTTTTGTTACATCTTGTGATCCGTTTATTTGGCAGTCGCCAATGGCAGTCAGCAGGGTTTAAGAACATCAGTTGTTCGACCTGCTAGTCAAATGCGTTTTGTTAAAATATACCTTTTCACTCATTTGGTCTTTTGGAAAATGCTGTTTGTGCTGTATTTATACCCCTCTACCAAGAAATTTGTTTTGCATGCACACGTATAAAAATTGCGGTTTTTATCCAATCCAATGCAATCATAGGTTTGAACGTTGTTTTCAATTTAGACTTGTATATATATATATATATATATATATATATATATATAAACCATAAGTGTGATGTTTATAAAGCTAACAATGTAATTATTGGAGTTTTGATTTATGTACTTTTAGCGATGTTATGACATTGTTGTTGTTCAATCACGTCGTTTAATAGTTTTATTTTCGAACAATCAACAATTCACTTTAAAAAAAACCCCTAATAAAATCATGTTTGGTTTTATCTGCAATGAAATTCATTAGATTGGTTTTCTTCTGGAACTTGAACTATATCGTGTGTCTGTATGGAGTTTGTCATAACACTTCGACGAATATTCAGGAATGACAAGTTATCTTGTATTAGAGTGTTTACATTAAGAAGAACTTAATGAACTATTCATTTTCTTGTATACATACCTGCACAGGCCAAATTCGCCATAAACAAATTCATCCGCGACCTGATTTTACCAGACAGGAAGAGGACAGTTAGCACGATACAATTTCCGGTGACAATTAGAATGAACAGTACGATGAGAAATGATACTTGTTCCGTCTGAAACAAAATTGGAAGAATCAATTATATGGGTTATATATATCACCACTTCTTGCTTGCAAACAAATGTTTTACCATCTTAATAAAAGTGCATTGCATTTGAAAATATTTTCCAATATGGTTATTTAAAATTTTTTTTAGAATAGATAACATATAACGAATTAGCAGATCAAAATACATTGCTGAATAAATAACATGCGTCATATCATTAAAGAAATGCTGAATGGATAACAAACGTCATATCATTTACACATTGGCTAACGAAATAACATGCGTTTTAGCAGTACGCAATAAGCTTAACATTCTCAGACAGTTGTATTTGTTGATATCTAAGAGTTAGAAGAAAGACATTTGCCAATAAGGTATCGTTTAATGCCTAAACACCAGATACGACTAACTATCGTTTTTTTAACAGACGTAACGAACAGAGTGTTTCATATTTAACAGCTACTGCTGCACTTCCGGAGCACACATATTTTGGTGAGTTATTGCTCAATTTTAAGCGTTATGTGTGATAGTTGTTAATTTTTGTATCTTTGGTATCTGTTTTCCCCCCACATCTTGTTATTGATATTCCTCTTTGTACCCGTTCCCTTCTCTTTTGATTACAAATAAGAAAATTCACCATTTTAGCAGTTTGAATCGACATAAATCACGTATAACAGGATATTTCACAAACTTTTGTCTGTTTACGCATTCGCACTCATTGTAAAGTACTAAAGTCTTGTCAATGAATCCAATAAAGGCCTCGATATACAACTCATTGAAGAGTTGTTAATTTCCTGTTTGAAAACAATAGTAAAGAAATTAAACAATATAGTTAAAATAGTTTAGCTAACCAATAACTTATTAAGTGAAAAGAAAAAGTACGAGTACTCAATATCAAATTTGTTGACTTGTGTGATGAATATATTTACCGTTACTTTTCATAGACGTTTACAGTTCATGCAATGATAACAGTTGTAGTGAATTGCACTGGACTGAAAAAAAAAGACACAAGACAACACAAGGATAATCAAAAACCACAAGTAGAACAAAATCCGACAATTCAACAATTCAATTGCAAAAAAAACAAAAAAAACGATACAAGACGAACAGTCCAGATATCACTACATTAATGCTGAGCAATTCAAAACCCAGCAAAATCTGGAACATAATGTGAAAGACTATCGTCATCAGTAAAGTAAATTTCCAAACAAAGTAAGAGTAAGTACACTGCAGAACAAGTTAAATGTTTGTTATATGTTTATGCAGTATGTTTCATGCGTTATACATGTACCAGATTGATATCTTATCTTTTTTCACTCAGTTGTTTACGAGGTATATCTGTAATAATATCCCCGAAAGAGAAATGGGATAAAAATATCGTCATCTCGGTCTTCATTTAATCGGAAATAAAATTTTCGTAGAACTATGCGTGATGTATAAATTCCCAGCCATGTCTTGTCATAATGGTGACGATAAACCCAATGCTTAGTGTAAAACGTATATTGGTCTACTACTACTTTTTCTATTACTATTCGTATGGTAGAATAAGAATGGTTCTATTGAGACTAGAGATTATTATAGAAATGTACAGTTAATAGTAATAACATAAATATCATTACAATAAATCTGTTTTTGAAGTGAGATAACCATAATTTCAAAAAAGCATATTAATAATCGACAAACTTTATCAAACGAATTTTCTTGAATTCAATATTTGAACTAAGTCGATTTAATGCGCTGTTCATCTAAAAGTATTAAAGAGTATATATACGTATTATATGATTTTACGATTCATTTTTTTTAAACATAACAAATTCATTAAGGATTATCTATATTATTAATCAAGGTAAAATGTTAAAGTCGCATAATAGCACTGAACAACTTACATGAAGAGAGTAAATGATCTCTTAATTGACTATGTAACAGGATAGATCTCTTATCAACCGATTGCTGCCATACAGTGCAACTACATTCGAAGAAGTGAGATCAACGTCGGAACAGATATTCTTACTTAATGGATTTATGTTCTTTTAAATTATATAGAATATTAGTGGAAGGATTATATTACCGATAAAGCAAACATCTCAAAAGTCGAAGTTTTGAAGCTTAAGATGTTAACATGTTTTATACATATACATGTTTTATGAATTGTGGTCAGAATTAATGTCAATTTCTTTTTACTATGTCATTTTCAAAAGTAGGGCTTCTACACCATTAGTACAAATATAACTCTTTCTCTTTTTATTCAAATCTACTACGGTAATTATTTCTAAATAGAAGAATTTCAATAGCATATAAAAAACCTTTCTGATGCTTTTCTGTCCAGGTTAGGACTTTGGTTGTTCCGTTTGACATCCTTAGGTTTGATTCTCTACATTGCTTTCTTTACATTTGAGGGCACGCTAAACTTTCGTCTCGATTGTACCTGCATTGCTTAAACTGCTGTAGCAATGATTTGTACCGGCATGGGCAGGTGCATTCGAATCCAATCTTAATTGACAAGGATTGTTAATTTTCCAACTGAAGGTCGGTGGCTCTCTCCGGGCACTCCGGCTTTCTCCAACCAATAAAAACTGACCGCCACGAAATAGCACAATAGTGCTGAAAATTGGATTAAACACTAGCAATCAATTAATCAATCAAGTGTACCGGCATAAAATATGTGCTATATTTCCACGTTCATCAGATTTTATGAATTGTGGTCAGAATTAATGTCAATTTCTTTTTACTATGTCATTTTCAAAAGTAGGGCTTCTACACCATTAGTACAAATATAACTCTTTCTCTTTTTATTCAAATCTACTACGGTAATTATTTCTAAATAGAAGAATTTCAATAGCATATAAAATAGGTTTTGTTCGATAAATTCTATTAATAACGTAGAACATCTGCAATCATATACCTAGATATTTTGAAGTTTTCAATACACTTAGGTTTTCCTACCACTCAGGCATAGATTGCTAAAGCCATATTTGTCAAAACTTTTCACTACGAAATTTCAATCCTGGTATCTATGATGAGTTTACTTCACATTTCATTTCGGTTTCGATGGTATTCAATTTTGCATTTGATTAAGCCTACCAACTGTTTTAGTCGTTCCCGTAACTTAGTAAAGTTGTGTAGCAGCACAACATAAGAACAAACTATAGAAATCAATTTAGAAGGGATTCAATCATCAGGAAAAAAAAATAAATCGGGTATCTTTGGTAAATTTCAAATGTGCACTTCTTTTTTCTTAACGAAAAAGGTCCATAAAATCCATGAATACAAATTTCCAGAAGACATTAAAAGGGCAATGTACAGTTTTACCAATGTACAGTAACTTGGTCCTTGGTTGAATTCCATCAGAGTGTTTTTATTCCTTCTTGTTAATTTTTTAAGCATTGATGCTAACCTAATATCGACAATTCTTTATGGTATATGAGGTTATACCAAACCTTGTTTAACACCGATGGCATTCACAACAGATTAACTATATCTCTATGATAGAAATAATTTAAGATCTATTGACAATTTCTGTTTCATTTATGGATTTCTGATAAAGTTAAGTATTCATTAGATTATATTGGGATCGATAAGGAATATATATTAATTAATGTTACGACAACAAAGATTGGTTAAAGGCTTTGCAATACGACTAATTCAAAATAAATATATGTTATGATTATCAGTAAATGAACTGCACAAAGCACCAAAGTACAAGGATATATACAGCTACAGGTCAATGCGCAAAAATAGTAGAGACAGCGGAGAACAAAAGACAGTCACTAATTAACAGTCACCTGATTTAGGACTGACACATACCAACTTACACATGTATATTCACCCAGTTTTGTTTGTTACCTTGACTTGTCCTTTCGTTATTAATATACAAGTTTTGAAAATCGACAAACTACTAATGCCTTTATTTGCAGGGTTGAATTAAGATGTGAGCGTTAAATTCCACATTCCTTGGTCAGAAGAGCAAAACGAACATTCAAACAAACTGTAAAAATAAATTGATTAAAATAACTCATTAGATGTGCACTTTGCTAAAAAAAAAATAAGAAGACAAAAACTGTACCAATCCAAGAGTACTCACAATTAATAAAATAAATTAATTTTGAGGACGAGAATTAGAATGTTTTCCAACATGAAATATCAACCAGGACAAAAATTGAAAACAAAGATCCTTATTGTAGGATAAACATAATAACGGCACGAATTAAAACCACAGGGAAATAATAACGTATTATAAATAATTTTTCTAGGTATTTTAACTTTTGAAATATTTGTTTTTCAAGATTGTAGTGCTTATTTCCATTAAAATGCATTATATATAATAAATTAATTTAATTTGATAGATTTATATTAAATCATGGACGTTTTATTTGGATTGATAGACTTGCTGGTTACTGCACAAAGAGCCTCTGCAGTTCAGATAAGATCAACGAGAAAACGTGACAAATGAACCATGTCTTAAACATTTGTATTCAAACTGATACGACACTCAATATACGTACTGTGGATTCATTATTTTACGTGGGATACAAATTTTCATGGATTTTATGAGTATAAAGTAACAACTAGTTTAATTGTTCAACTGATTTAACGAAGTACAAATTTTCTATTTTATCTGCAGATTCATATTTATTTTCTAACTCTTTTTTAATTGAAAAGAGAAATCAAGGAACTTGAACATATTTTATGCTAATGGCTAAGTATTCCACAACAGAAGCACTTACTATTTTCTTTATGATATTATTTGTCGTGTTATTGCACCCGTATATTTAAAGTAACCTCAATAATTAAATTTAAAACTAAAAAAAAAAAATTCTTCTACCAGCACAAATCCGCTGGTACACATCAACATGTGTTATGGTTATATTCATTCATTAGAAATTTAAGAGAAAAAAAAACAGCAGGTTATGTAACCTAAGAAAAATCCATTACTTCAAGTTTACATCTAATCCCTCTTATCCTTTTTTTAATTTCTTTAATTGAAAAGTGAGAATAGATAAAACATTAACAGA